AAATAAATTTAAAAACTACCAAAAAAAAAAATCCTATGGAAAATCTTTTTAGACTACCTTTCTAGCCCTTGCTTTTTAATTACCTTAAGACAATTTTTCTTTGGTAACACTTTTCCCCATGACCAGGAACGTCATCCTTTTCCTTTCTACTAACCTAGACATAGCCTTCCTTTGAAGTCTAGCTTAAGTCCAGTCTCCTCTATGAAATCTTAACCAACTACTTTAATAAGCAACAATCCCTGAACTTCAGATGTGTTTAGATACTGTATCAAGATATGTAACACTTAATCTCAAACCATTCTTTAATTTTGCACATTAGTTTTATTTCCCAAATACATTTGAAATTCTTTGAAGGTAAGGATTCCATCTAATATTTTCAATAGTTCCTAATATGAAGATAGGTTTATTGTTGATCCTGTTGATGACAGCTTAATAATAACAATATTGAGATTCATAAGTAGTTATTAAAATACGAAACAAAATCCATGTTAAGCCTTTTTTCAGGCCCTCTGACTTCTAAACCCTCTGATTTTTAGGGAAACAAACTTCTGTACAGTTCTTTATTGTTCTGATTGCTCTTTCTGTTTCTTTTGTAGGCTCAGTTTTCCTCTCTTGTCCTGTAAATGGGAGCTTCCTTGCATGTTAGTTCTTCTCCTTAGATATCCACCTTCCTCATGAGGGCACACTTGGATGGTTTTAATATCACCCTTTGGCTGTCTCCTCCCAAATTTTCAACTCTAATCTTTCACTCCAGTTCCATATTTCCTATAGTAATATTACCATTTGATTATCTTGAGTCACTTCACATGTAACAGGGCCAAACTAAATTTTTTACCTATGACTCTAATTTCTCTACTGGCTTTCATAACTCTCTGAACCTTAACCTCACTACACTTATCCTTTGAAAGGATTTCACTGCCTCTGATTCTCATGTTTTATCCTATATCCCACTGCCAGGCTAATCGTTCTATAAGACTAATTTTAATAGGGCTTTCCCATGATATAAAAGTGTTTATGGTGTTAAAGGAGAATGTATCAATACCTTAGTGTAACATTCAAAGTCAAAAAAAGCTCCAAGTTGCCTTTCAAACTTATTACTTTGTTCTTCAACACAAACCATTTGTTCCCAAATGGGCTTACCTCCTCATTACCATGTAGACACCCCATTTAATTCTAACTTAATCTAATTCACTTTTTCTGGAATGCCTTTCCCTTCAGTTTAACCAAATTTTACATGTCCTTGTAGGTCTAACTAAAATTGTAACTTCTCTGCAAAATTTTTCTTACCTATTTCAGATTACATTAATGTCTACGCTTTTTCTAAATTTCTACTATATTTTTACTCGGTATCACACAACTTAGCACTCATTAATGTCCTAGTGATTGCATGAGTCTATTTTCCTTGATTAGGTTATGCTGGGGACTTAGCCCATACCTTACACTTCCTTTGTGACTCCCGCATAAATATTGTAAGATGGGTTTTGTATAAATAATATGCTATCACTAATAGCTGTAACTTAAAACCATGGTTTGTCTATTATTATTTTGCAAGGAAATAAAATTGATTTTCACACAATTCAATGAAAAGAAAGATCGGGTTCTACAAATAAGGAAGTTGTGATCAAATGAGTTCCATTAGGTCACAATTTATCCATGATAGGTTTGGAAAATAATTTGGATATTTACAAAGACTGACAAATAATTCATTACAGGAATTTTAAAAAGGAAACTATCTTTTCTTGGCATTTTAAGATTGTGCCTGAAAATGTTATGGGCAGAAACAAACCAACCTTGAAAGGCAATTTTTATCCCAAATATATATATATATAGGAAAGTCTTGATTTGTAAACTATTCTGAATTTACAAGTAAAAGGAATTATTTTTTAAATGGTATAATTTATAGGTCATTTGATCAACAACATTAACTAAACTTTGGTAATGATGACAACCTATAAATCCTCATTATTTGACACAAGGAAAGATCCAAGTTCAGACTGCATCCTCTGAAAGCCTTCGTGTTGTAGTTGCCTCACTCATTTCTAAACAACTGGACCTTTTATAGAAATATGGATCCCTTAAAGAGATGGCAACTAAAATAAATTCCATAACTTACCATTTCTTGAGGGTAAAAGATTTTTATTAGTGAACAGTGGCCAAATTCAAAGACTAAGTACCCATATGTTAGCACCAAGATGCTGAGGAACTTTTCTCACTTGTTTTCTAAGAGTTATAGAACACTATGTTGTGGTGAACTTCTGCCATTTTAGGGCTAAACATATGCAGAAATCACTAGTAGCATTTAAGCATGTGTTTTCTTTGGAAACACCACACTGTATGGGTGTACAAAAGGATGACCCTTGGGGAACCTTTTGACGTGGTTTACTTATTTTATAACTAAGTACAATATAACAAAATTTAAACAAAATTCAACAAAAATTTAACAGAAAGAATTAAAGGGATCCTTTCCTTTACAATATAACAAAATTTAAGCAAAATTCAACAAAAATTTAACAGAAAGAGTTAAAGGGATCCTTTCCTTTGGCTAAAAATTTAGCCTGAGCATCAAATTAATTAATTAATTGATTGATTGATTGATTGATTGTCTTTTTCGTGACCGGTAAGGGGATCACAACCCTTGGTGTGGTGTCGCCCGCACCACGCTCAGCCAGTGAGCACACCGGCCAGTCCTATACAGGACCCAAACCCGTGGCGGGAGCGTCACTGTGCTCCCAGTGCCACACTCTCCCGAGGGTGCCACGGGGCCGGCCCCAAATTTTTAATTTATTGTGACATTAGAGAGATCTTTAGGAATAAAACACACACACATTTTTAGAAGACCTAGCTAACAGTCCTGTCTAGAAACTGAAGAAGTGGATGGATAATGTTAGGAAGTCTTTCAAAGGCCCTAAAGATGTAGGAACTGACCTAGACCTGTGAGCAGGGTTGAGGTGAAGTTATTTTGTTAAAATATATCACATCAAGAATGTGCTGGGAGGGGGCCGGCCCGGTGGCGCACTGGATAGTGCGCCGCTTGGGAAGCGCGGCGGCACTCCCGCCTGAGGGTTCGGATCCCACATACAGACCGGTTCCCTCTCACTGGCTTATCTAGGCGCGGGGGCAACACCGAGGGTTGCGATCCCGTTGCCGGTCCCCGGTCCGGTACGGGGGCAACACTGAGGGTTGCGATCCGTTGCCGGACACGGAAAAAGACAAAAAAAAAAAAAAAAAAGAATGTGCTAGGAGTAAAAGGTCTATTTTAGAAATATTTTATCCATCATAGAATAAAGCACAAAATATGACAGAACATAAAAAGAGATAAGTCCTATTGGAAATGTTAAAAGCAGACTCATTGGTTTACTAGCTTAAGTAACCAGTATTGTCAGATTGCTGTAAATTACAAAAGTAATTTTGTGTATATTCTATCATGAAAATTCCATTTCTGAGTTGAATTAATTCAATAGCAAGGGACATCCTTCTCCAAATGCCCCCTGCCCCCACCACACACATAAACTTGCTATTAAATTAAAATGCAATAAAGTCTATCTAAAAAGGATTGTCTATCGGGATGCTCCACTGCATACTTTAAGATGCCTGACATGTTCCAACTTACCCTGCGTGACAGGTAAGGGTGGAGGCCATGAGACACACCTCTTACTATAGATGGCAGGCTTGGCCTCCAGTCAAATAATTTTGAGCCTGTTTTTAAGGTGAGTAATGGCATTAAGAACCATAAGCTTAAGTTTTATTAACATTGAAATTTTCTGGAGCATATTTTGTATTCAAATTTTAAAATTTGATTAAAACTTAATTTAATGGAAACACACAGTGATTTTAAAATAATCTCATCCTTTTGAATAGTATCCTAAGGCAAATTTAAGAAGTATTATGGTTCTAAAAATATTAATTTAGCCTTGTAAACAGTCTCTGGAAAACAAAAAATTTATGCCAGTTGGAAGTAACTGTTAAGTGATCTCCATGAGTAAAGGCAGACAAGGTTAGATGAGCAATGAAGAAAAACCAAAATCCACTAAAATGATAGTCTATATTCAAGTGGTAGATTAAGATATGTTTCTAACTACTATAAATTTCATGTAGATTTGCAGACAGAACCATGGGCCTAAACTGCAAACAAGAATGGTTAGATATACAATAAGTCACACTGTAAACAAGAATTTAAATTGATTCAGGATATTTGATTCTATAAATCAATTAAAGTTATTAGTAGTAGTGATGGAAATTCAACTCCATGGATGACTAGTGATTAATCTTTTTATCACAAGCAAGTAATATTTTTCTAGGCAAATAGTATTTTTTAAGTTTATCTGCAAAGCTAAGGCATCTTGTACATTATTTTGTGACCAATGTATACTCATTATGTCCCAAGTATGTTCTGAATCTAGGCTCATTCACCTTGTCTAGGCCCTAATAGTGCAGTCCAATAGAACTTTCTGCATTGTCCAGTATGATAGCATGTGTTTACTGAGCACTTAAAATGTGGGTACTGTAACTGAGGAACTGAATTTTAGATTTTATTTAATTATTCAAATAGCCACATATGACTAATGACTACCATATTAAACAGTACAGCTCAGAGAGATCAAAAAGTAAGACCAAATGTCTTGTTACATTAGGTCTAACTCTAGCTTGCTTGTTGATTTCCTAAAGCATGGTATTCACAAACTCTTACAAGAGTGGTATGCCAAAAAACCTTTTGTCCTGTGGTTTCACTTCATTCAAGATATGATTAAATCTACGTCAGTAAACATCTAATACAACATTCAGACAAATCCCAACAAAAAATACCACCTGAAGAGATTTTTATTAGTGTTTATAGTATGTCTACAATTACATTAATCAGTATGGTATACTGATTAATGAGGTAGCCTGGTGGCCTGTGTCAATCTGTGTCTAATGCTAGTTCTAGAATGACTAGAATTCAAACTATGAAATATCCACTCCTAAAAAGTTTTTGTCCATTACCTATCATAACACAAGAATACCAATTACTACATAGTTTTCAGCTCCAATGGTTAAACACTGCAAAAGCTTGTCAAACCATTTTACCTGACAGACATATTTGTTCTTCCATTTGCTCAGCACACACTGACTGTTTTGCATCAGCTCCTGAAGGACAACAGAAAAAGAGAGTGCAGTTGGCTATACACATTGTCATTATCAGTTAAAGTGCTTCTGATTTGCAAGCATAAAAAGATCAGCATGCCACACAAAGATGCAACTGTTTTGGAACTCCTCACCGGACAAAAGCAAAGCTATCATCACCATGAGAGTTGATCCTTTATGAAAATTAAAGCTGTTGAAAGACGTTTTAAAACAGATTTGTTTGTTGCCATTTTTGAAACTTTTTGAAAGATACCTCCAGCTCTTTGAGTGAGTCTCGAAGTTTTTCTGGGCGTCTGTTTTTGAGAGTCCAAGGATAATCTCGTGCTGGCAAATAAAACATGTACTACAGTTAGTTAAACATGATTTAAAAAGGAAACTCTGCTTAGCAGTGTGTCTTAGGAAGATTAAAATAAAACACTTCCATAATTGAGAGGAAGTGGGCTTCATTTCTATCATCAAATGACAGCCTTTTGAAAGGCTTTGTCATAGGAACAGGATTTTTACCACAAAACAATCTCCCTAATCATAATTTTATGATGACAACCAACAAGGCTTAGAGAATCCCTGGGAAAGTTTGCTAGGCCTGTAAATCTAATACTTGATTGTAAATGACCCATTCTTTACCATCAAAGTAACTTTTTCATGTAAATAATTAAATGTTCAATCTAAAAGAAATTCGAAATTCTGCAAGTGGCCTGCTCAGACCTGAAAATTCTCATGAGTCAATAAATATAGTGAGGAAAGAAATAAAACACAAAAATGATATACAAAAATTAAATTTAAAATTAAGACTCAAAGCATCACATATAAAATTAAGAAAAAAATCTGAGTTTTAACAAATTAGGTAGTAACATGGCTCAATTTTTTTTTTTTTTTTTTTGGTGGCTGGCTGGTAAGGGGATCTGATCCCTTGACCTTGGTGTTATTAGCACTGTGCTCTAACAAACTGAGCTAACTACCAAGCCCTGTGTTCATTTTAAAATAATCCTCTCTAAAATCTACACCACAATTCAGTAATAATAAGCCTTTGTTTTATAAATAAATTTAACTGAAAGATGAAATTATTTAGTAGAGTCACAATGTTAACCTAAGACAAAATAAAAATAGTTCAGTTTTTAAGGAATCAATAAAATGTTAAACTCATTATATCTATTTCATCAGAAAAATGAATTGATCTTTGAGTTCTAATTAATAATTCTAAATAAGAGTTGTATGTTGTGTATGTATATGTGTGTTATGTGTGCATATACACATAATGTACATATTTATAGACATTTTAATTTGAGAAAATTGCTGTATATCTTATTTTAGTAAATAAATTTGGTTCTATAAACATAATTTTAATGTGTAGAGCACATGTACAAATTTTAAAATCTGTGTTGTAGCTACTAATACAGTATTTTCAAAAATTAAATGAAAGTTTGGCCATTTAAAACAAGAGAACAAGTGGAATTTTCAGATCCAGCTATATTCCAATTAAAGCTTAAATTATATTTGTCATTAAGACAATATTACATTGTAGCCATGTTATATATTAATATGGTTAATATATATTAACATATTTATATATTTGAGAACAGAACAGAAAATAAAATGCTAACACTGATACAAATCTTATTTTCTCAAAATGATTAAAACATTAAACAATTTAGGCAAAGTATGAATAATAAAATGTTACCATTAGAATTTAAGCATGGTATGCTTATTTTAAATATATTAAATAATATAAATATAGTTCATGAAGAAAATTTATGTTTATGTAAGCATATATCTTACCAAAACTAGGTAGAACAGAGATTTCAAAGGTCTAAATGAGAAAGGCCTAACAAATATAATTCCTACTCAAATGTTTATGTACCTAAACAATGGAAATTTAATTATAAGAAATTTGGAGGTAATAATGTTTCCTATTTGTGCAGAAAGCAGAATATTTTGTAATACTAAACTTTCCAGGTTTATGATAATTCCAAAAATATATATATAAAGTAAGCTTACATTCTGCCAGCTTCTGCTTTTCTTCTAAGTTACCATGCTCTGCTGCTGATATTGTGGCAGAGGAGAGACGGAAAGGAGAAAAATAAGGGGAGTTTATTTTTAGTATAATACCTTGCATTTTAATATGTACATATATAATGTATTATTATACACATTATTGAGATTAATAAATTATATTAAACTTTAAAAAGGACAGTTGAAAAAAGGTTATAATTTGGATATTTTCATTTCATAGAGATAATTCCTAAATTTGCAGTGGAAAGGCTTACACAGCACGACAGGTGTGTCAATATCCTGAGTTTCCAATCTCATCAGATAGGGAAGGGAACCACGACCGAGCCCAGAACAGAAGCTGCTTCAGTCTGTCATCAGAACCACGAAGTCAGCCTATTAAACACCAAGCTAAGAACACAGGACACTACACAATCCCTACTTCAACAGAGACCAAAACAGGAAGTAACTCTAGCTAGAAAGACCTTTTGGCCCATCATAAAACTTCTGGGATTAACAGGATTAATCAGATAAAGAAAATTGATCATTCACTCAGAAATGCCTATTTCAGATATCAGGTGAGGATCCAGGAGGCCAGCATCAGTGGGACCTATGTATTAACAATGCCCTCTACTGGGACACCAATAAATAAATGTGAATAGACTGTCCTGTTATCAGCCTGATCAGCAGTAAAATGAAAATTTTCATGTTCTTCTACAGCATTTTCTCAATATTTCTTTATTTTTTATAGAACAGATAGGTATCAACCTCAGCAATATTCTAAAGAACTGAGTTGATTTTTCTTAAAATTCTAGAATTTATCTGAAGCTCATAAAAACAGTATTTTTCATGGTTAGTATTTCACAGTTTAGAATATTTAATTTACAAAAATTAGTTGAGTTTAAAAGGTACCTTACCTGGTGGCTCATTCTTGTCATAATACCGATAGATCCCAATGTCTCTATCTATAGAAAAGAAGAAATAACATTAAATTATGGTAAAAAGTTCTGGAGAATAAGAAGCCAAACCACACTATATCGGGGGAAGGGTGGGGAAGAAAGCAGAAACAGTCTCCTTATGTTACTAGAAATAAAATAGCTCAAAAGCATCTGGACATGGGTTTATCTATCCTAGGGATATGCAGGAACTGGAAAGTTTATCAATCTAATGAGAAAAGATTTACACAAAACTAGAATGACATGAGGAAAAGATTAGGAAAGAACTGAAACCAAAGAAGACCAAATTTTTTCTTTCACACTTCCTCTGATATTTTTCACAGGGCGCTACCAAAAGGAATTGACACTAAGCAATGCCAAATGAAATCAGTGGATGGAAGAAAATGCCCTGACTGTTGGATTCCAAGCTGTGGCTTTCTTTTCTCCAATTTAGCTCTACTCTAAGTCCCATCCTAGGAGCTTGGTGGAAATTTGCAGGAAAGAAAGGGAAGATTAGAGGAAGATATGGATAAATTATTATCTGAAACTTGTTTGGATTCAAAAAGCCTTCCAAGCCCATTCTAATTCAGATGCTCTGCTGGGGCTACATAAGAAGCAAAGCTAGGCTTTCCAGATGTAGAGACTGATTTAACCAAGGAATCTGTTCCTGAAATTTAAATACAGGGGAACAAAATAATTTTGTCCATTTTCTTCATATCTATGAATAATGAAATATTTCTTCCATTGAAGTAACATTTGTTTTCTTCATGCAAAATAATTCTCAGCTACTAACGTAAGGAAGATACAACTGTTTCTAAAGAAGTGGAAGTAGTACAGGCTGCCCCCTAGTGACTGACAGCTCCAAATGTTCTCATACTGAATGATAAAACTTCAAAATGTATTACTGCTATAATTAACATTTCAAACATAGTATTTAAAAATAGTCAATCATGTGTACTTATCAAGGCTCTATTTTATTCATCATGCCATTAATTGAGACATACAATGTTAAAGAATGCAGTTTATGTATACTAGTTAGATTGAAAATACCTAATAAGGATTGACTGAGAAAAGTCACGAGTAGGGCTTCTTGGGTACTGATGTTATTTCATTTATTGAACTGGGTAGTGATTTTATGGGTGTTCACTTTTTGATAGTTCATAGAATACTCTTATGATCTTTACACTTTTCAGTACATATGTTATACTTTAATAAAAAGGTTTTTTTAAAAAAAAAAATCTAAGAACCACAGGCACTATGCACAGCCAATATCCTCTATTAAAATATTCTAGCCTATAATTATGCCCATCATACCATACATAGAAATATTTACCACAACTCTACGACAGAACTATAAAGATCATAAGGGACCCTGAAATCTGTGCTCAAGTCTGACCTACTGCACCTGGTCCAGAATGGGAATGTCAAAACTGAAGCAGGACAAGGAAGGCATCCACATAAGGAGACCTGCCCCACAAGGGATGCCAGAGCTGGATGAGGAAGGTGTCTATGAAGAGAGTCATTCTGACATGGTATGTTAGAACTCCAGCAGGGTGAGAATGACATTCATATGGGGCAATGGCCTCGTGTGGGGTATTAGAAGCTAAACAAGATGAGGAGGATAGTCCAACATGGTGTGACAAAGTCCACACAGGATGAGCAGAGTATCCACACAGGGGAGGGAGTGGCCACAGAGATAGGAGATTGACAGCTGGTTGATGAAGTAAAATGATAAATTAAAGATATTGGATCCCCAGGTTTCCCATTTTCTGAGAAGAAAAGCACAAATATGAAAAGGGAGAAAATTAGAATAAACCCTGTGGCGGTAGATTAAAGTTGGAGGTACCAGTGTAAACTCATGGTTTTCAGTAGATAGACAGATATAGAAGTGAATGTGGATGTAAATATGTGTGCATACATACATACATACATACATTCCCTAAGCTCTCTCCACTGAGAGAACCTGGGAGCAGCAATACTCCAACTGCAACGAGCGCACCTAAAGCAGACCTTGGCTTCTGGACAACCTTCTCCTTCTAAAAGGAACCACGTTCCTTAGAGAAATGGCTGATTCCAAGGCTGGGAAAAAGAAAGTACAATATGAGCTGGGGAACACCTGTTATGCCAGCAAGAACAGAAGTGCTCAAATATTGACAGGGACATGTCAAAAAGACACAGAAGCCAGATTGAAGGGGGTCCCTCTGGCTACACCAGGGACAATTTAAACATCAAAATAAATAATGAAAGTCATGGATTATAACCAATAAATAAAATAGGAAACTTGAGTCCACAGAGATAAAATAAATATATTTAAAGTTTGATGAGGAATAAGATATTTATATAATTTCGAGGAACCTCCCTATAAAATACTTATTAATTACAAAGGAGAAAGTAACTTAGTATTGGAGAAGACTAGCAGACACCACCTTAATCAACTAATCATGAACATCATCAGGAAATTGTGTTCTACCTGATAAGATGCTTTGAGAACACAGCATTATTTCTGGGATATTCTCACCAAACATATATAACTTGAATCTAATTATGACATTATGACAAACTTCAAACATATCCAAATTTAGGGACATCCTACAAAACAACTGGCCTAAAATCTTCAAAAGTGTTAAGGTCATGAAAGGGGGCCAGGGGGGACTGATAAAGGATCTGTTCCAGAATAAAAAAGGCAACTAAATACAATATGTGACTTTGAATAAGATCCCTTTGCTAGAAAAGGACACCGATGGGACGACTGGTGAACTGGTCAGTTTAGACTGAAGAACATCATTGCTAATTTCCTGATTTTGATGATTATATAGTGGTAGTGTAGGACAATATCCCTTTCACAGGAAATACACACAAATGTATTTGGAGGTGAAAAGGCATCAGGTCTGCAACTTAACTCTCAAATGGTTTAAGAAAAAAAATTCTCTCTACTGACAATTTTTCGGTAAGTCTGTGATTATTTCAAAAATTTAAATAATACTTTAAATGTCAAGCATAATAAGAGCATGTTAACAGGGTTGGCTAACTTAGTCTAGATGGCAAAGAAAGCTTCTCTAAGTGACTTGTTAAAGCTGAGCCCTAAAGAAGAAGTAGGATTTCACGTGGTTTCAAAGAGAAGAATGTTCCCAACAGAGAGAATGTATAGGCCCTGCTTAAGATCTGGCTAGTGCTGAAGACCATTACTTCCCCATTGGACCATTGTGTACCACTGTGGGATTCTTCTCTAAAAAGGAGGAGCAGGGACAGAGGCCTTTAGGACAGACAGAGGGGCAAAGAAGGAGTTTGCTGGGCATGTAATAGAAGAGTAGGGGTAAAAGGGAATCAAGACAGAAAAGATCAGATTTCCAACCACAGGGTCCAAGCTGGGTAGGAAAAGTGAAGAGAAGCTTAATGGACTAGGAGAGTTATTAACGAATTAAAAGATTGTTGGTCTCAAAGAAGCATGAAACTTAGATATATGAAAATAAGGGAATGAAAAGATTTAAAGAAATAGGCAATTATGATCAGAGAAGAAAATACTTCAATTAAAGATTCTCATCAATAGTGAATAAGCTCACTTTCTTTATGTGTTTTTGTTTTTGGTATTTTCTGAGAGAATTTCTTTCATGCTTTTGAGTTTAAAATTTTTTTCTGCTACATATTTTTAATTTGACAGATTAGTATAACTTCAAATGTTTTCTGAAGCTTCTGAATTTTGTTTCTTGCTTCATGGATTCAGTATCTTTCCTGCGGTCTCTGTTGCACTCCATCCCCGCCTTTCTACATTATCTCTGTTTCTTCAAAGATACTTTTACCTATTTTTTTCTTTTGTTTTCTCCCTGTTGAAGACATTCCTCAAATATCTGGTGATCCTTAGCTCTCTGTTCATATTTACAAGTGAGGCACTAGAAAGCTGATTGGAAGCTCTGTGTATATAAACAGGGCTTGCCAACTAGTGGGTTTCACTGATCAGCAGGGACCAGGGTATTTCACTGGAGGATGCCCCTCAAATGTTGATGTAGATAAGTCTTCTCTCTGGGGCCATTCAGTCACTCCAGAAAGAAATCCCTCAAGCTCCTTTTTTCTTGAAACATGTACAACTAGGTATGACATTCTCAGAAGTGGGATTAAAAGGATCTCACTTTATGAGTGTGTAAGTTTCCATTTTATCTCTGTTTTCAGTTCAGATCTTTCTTCCACTGGCCCTGGTGTCCCCAAGTTTAGTGCCTCACTAGTTAAATATTTCCACAGCATGAGAGGTATGTCACTACATCCTAGCAGACTTTCAAGTTCCTCTGTTGTCACCCTCATGCCACATCCCCACCATCTGCAACATCTGGCTCCTCAAATTTCTGTACTTTCCAGAGTTTTGAAACACAAATTGGCTGTCATTGGAATTCTTCTCTGTAGGCAGCTGATATTCAGATTTTTCAGCTCTGCTAATTCTTGCAGCCCTTCCATCTTTCAAAAATTGTCCAATTGCAGTTGTCCCTGCTCCTATTCTCTTAGTCCTTGTGGGTTTATGCCTTCTTTATTTTCATTAATTTACTCTTAGTTTAGAAGAGTTTTGGGAGGAAGCAAATGTGTGTTAAATCTATTTTGTTAAACTGGAAGTTCTACCCTTATACATTTTAAGGAAGATAAACCATGAAAATATGACATTCAACTGTAATTGTATATTTGATATAAAGAAACAATAGTTTGCAAGGTAAATTACTGTCTTAGTAATAATGCTAGAGGCATATAAATAACCTGGTGGGGGGGGGAAGAAGACACGACAATTAAATTCCTTGAAGTTGATACGACAAGCAAACAGATAGGAGGCTGTTGGGAGGGAGGGGGGTGAGGGAGGAGAGAGGGAGGTTTTGGTAATGGGCCACAATAATCAACCACATTGTATATTGACAAAATAAAATAAAATAAATAGAAATGCCTTTACTATTAGCTAGGCTGTAAATATTTATAAATATAAATCAGTTATTGTAAACAATCTCAGGAATATATTGAACATGTATCTTAAGAAGAAACAAATATTAAGCTGATAAAATTAATTTCCACAATGGAAAAATCTAACTCAAGCTGAAAAAGATAAGTTAATAAGAGTAATTAAGAGGAACTATTTTCTATTAAACATTTTTTCATTAAGTATAAAGAGAAGAATGTAACTCCAGCTGGAGAATATAGGCTCTAACCTTTGCTAGTACTTATTTGTAGTGGTGTAACATATTTGAAAAATATTAAAATTAATCCAGAGCTCATTTACCCCCAATATGCAAGGTATTCTTCAAAGACCACAGGTGCAGTTCAGTCAAGCAGAAAGACATCTGATGGCAGAAGGAATCTCTATCCTGTTTAAAAATAATTAAGAAGAGGTGCCAATTAATTATCTTCTATTGCCAATAAAATTAAAATCTACTGATATTTGAGGTATGGTCCATTAGAATAAACACTATCACATATCCTTGGTGAGCCATCAAGAAATAAACTCTAGAAAAAGGAAAAATACACTTCTTTTCCTGGATTTAGTATGTCATCACATTGAGAAATGTGGTAAGAAGAATATATATATTTGGGTTTTAAATAGCATATGTTTGGTTAAGGCTCTGGGTATATTTAGAATTATTTAATATTTAAGCATTTTTTTAGAGTTTATTTTTAAGGAAAGGAAACATCTGTTAGGTATTAAGTTCAAGCACATTTTGTGGTACATTTTTAATATATAAAGCAAATATTTACAATCTCCCACATACAAACAGGCTAATTAAAATGGAATTTGCAAGGTAAATGGTATATAGTTACTATTAAAAGAAATACAACTCCTTAAAAGTAAACCATGTGAAACCTCATTAGCATTCAGATTAGTTTGTTAACCTGCTTGTCATGATGGATCCAGATATTCTATTCTAACTGAATTTTTAAAAAATACCAAGATAGTAAAAATGAACATCCTATATTTTCTCCCATTTTAGTAGCCAGAGCTACTAATGAACTCTATTGATACCTTTTTTTTTTTTAATCAAGTAGAAACTCATCACTTTGGACTGATTGAGAGAAGGCCAGTCTAAATCAGAAAAAAAGTCAACGTTTTACAAATATTTGCAAGGAATTTATATAACTTTCAAATGTTTGCTTAGAAATACATATACTATATGTATAATATACTGTATATTAGAAATGCATACAGTAATTTAAACTATGGACATTTTCCTTATAGAAATAAAAAAAAATACTCTTTCCAATAAACTTCTGAATAACAAAAGAAGTTTGAAAAATATTTTTAGACATCTTTTAATGGAGGAAAAAGCCCTCACTTCTTTAATATTATGAGTGACTAAAAATATTTCCCATACTATACAAATAGTTGATAGTCTACAATACTTTTAGACATAGTACAAACTCCTAGGCCCTTCCTCCACCTTTACATCTGACCTCAATGCACTTACAATCATTGAGAAACAGATGCATGCTCAACTGACAGAGACACAGTGTGCTAAGAATTGAAACGGCAGAGTGAAATATCAGCATAGCAGAGCTTGATCCTGCCTGAACAACAGGGCTGTGAGAAAGCTATAGAGAAATCATGAGATGTTAACGGGTCCTCAAAGAATCATAGGATTTCACCAGTGAGAAGAAGGAGAAAAAAAGAGGAGGAGGAGGAAGAGAAAACAGACAACACTTACTAAACATTTACTTGTTCTAAACATTTTATATGTGTTAACTCATTTAATCCTCACAGCTACACTTCAAGGTAGTACCATCATTACTCCTATAATGAGGAAACTGAGGCACAGAGAGGCCACATAGCCAGCAGGTAGTGGAGTCAGGCTTTGAATCGAAACAGCCTAGCTCCAGAGTCTGTGCTCACAACCATAGTGCTCTACTGCACTGGAGTATGCAGAGGTGTGGGAAGGAGTATACACAGTAGTTTGAGTAAAAGGATGGCATGTCCCTAGAATGGCAATAGATTAAGGTGCATGGTAGTAAGAGAAAGAAAGACGAAGTTGAAAAGGGTAAGGAGGAAACTGGCTATAATTATAATAGTAAATTTTGGACTGATCTGAATTTACTCTCTATCTTGCATTAAAATGCCTTAAAAGGTAAGAGATGAAACAATGGACCCCTTGATTCCCACACACCCACCCCACATCCCCCAAGATCTGCCCTGCTGTAACCAGATGCTGGCTGCCATTGTATACAGGTATGAAGTAGGAGAGCTAGTGGGCTGCATCACTATGAGAGAGGATGCAGTTCATTATCAGCAGGCAGTAGAGATAAAGGCATATTAAACTAATAATGAATTTTTCAATTCAACTGAGCATTACCTTTCAGAATTGCCACCTTGAAAGTGACTCTATTAAGGATGCCATTTCTTAAAATATTTCCAAAGCAGTATTCTTTAGAATTGCTTTCAATTAGTTTTATGAGGCTTATTTCAGAATTACTACTTTATAGTTATACTTTTTTTAAAATGAAATACTGTTAGCATAAGTAAACTGCACCCATCTCATTTGGATGGGTGAGGTCTGGAATGTTTGTTTAAAATAAATCAGTTAGTGAATTAAATAAATATTTACCTTGCATCTATTTAGCTTAGTGTGGATTCTAGAATCTGACTGCCTGTTTTCTAATTCTGACTTCTTAGCATACTAGCTAACTTAGACAAATTACCTAAATTCTCTATTTCTAAGCTCACCCAGCTATAAAATGGATGTAATAAAGTACCTACATCAGAAATATTTTGAGAGTACCTTTACTCAATTATCTTACCATTGTTGTTGTTGCTGTTGCTGCTCTATATGTCTATCTCTATGCAAATTTATATGAAAAAAACAAAAGAAGTAAAAAATATGATCTCTGACCTTATGTAGTAATTACACAGTGTGAAATGAATGAATAAGTACTAGGTACAATCAGTGGTTTATGAAGCAAAAAAAATCCATATGTGGAGAAGTTTCTACACAAGGAAGGTATCTGAATTAGGTCATGCAAACAGGGTAATATTTTATCACAAATAAAGAAGAAAAAATGTGATGGAACAGATGCTTACTTCCTTTAATATTAAGCATCAAAAGTCACCAACTTCTAGACTACACTAGAAAATGTAAAATCACATTCCTCAACTTAGGGTTTATTCAGATACCAATAATTATAATTTATGACAATTTGGGCAAAGACAAGGCTGAAGTTTAGCTGTTTGTAGCTACATAATTTATCATGTAAATTAAATATAGGTAGAAATTTAGAGATGAAACCAAAAGGGCTGCATCTTTACTCACATATCAAAAGAGGACAACACTTGAAAATATATTTTTCAGTTTAAGTCAATTCAATAATAAATAAGTTGTCAAAACTTTCTTCTGATAATGGAAATGGAGAGTGGAGTGTTTTCTTTATAATCCACATTGGCTATTTCTAAGAGGCAGAAATGCCTTTAACTTGAAAAACTAATAGGTTCACTTCCTATATCTTTACTAAGTTTGAAAGTCCTAAACTTCTCAGAAATTACAGTCTTTGGGAGAGAATAAGCAAAATGAGCTTGTGGAGAGCTTTGAATGCCAAGAGTAAAGCTGTTAATCCTCTCCATTTGGACACAGGGGAGAGTCCTGTAGAGTCTATGACCTGGATTTGTCTTCCAGTTCAGCACCCAAGGATTTTTTATCTAGTAACAATGGGAGTAGAAGGACAAAGTAAAATGTACAAGCTATTTCTCAAAACAAAATGTTCTGATCTACAAACAACACTGCTCTAGTTTCCCATTAAAAAGCTCAGGACAAAAGGGGGAAAGAGACATTCTCTTCCTGCTTCATAAAGGGCCCTTTTGTGGCCCCACAGCGAATATATGGTATAAGGTGGACAAGTGGCTAAAGGGGGTTGTCGGTGGTTCCCAGCAGAAAGTAAGGACTGGTAGCCCTGTAGATTAATGTACTCAGTGAGAGCGGCAGGATCCAGAGAAAACAGGATCTGTACTCAGCAAAAGTAGACATGGCTGCTAAGGAGTGGTCTGTACCACCTGAAGAAATGGCAACAATAATCTGCTGATGGAGTAGGTCTAGCAAGCAGTGGGTGCGGCAGATGAGAAGGAAATAGCCAACGTCCATTAGTAAACCACTGGGCTTATTTATGAATACATGTCACAACTCCTGCAGACTCCCCACAATATATGTAATTAAGGGAGAGGCTTTGCAAAAGGTCATGCATTAGCAGGGGGTCAAAAGATAGTCAAATACGGGTTATTCATCCTTCTTTTTTCCTGAATACCAAATACCTGCCAGGAAGGACATGTAAGATTAAAGAGAATTAATAGAGTAAATAAGACAAATTTGTAAAAATCTATAATAATAACTAGGTCGGCCTGGTGGGAGGGTACCAAACAATATCCTTTTTAGTCCTCACGATGTCTTGCCATCTTTATTCACTGTGCAGGTTTTCTGAAATATGCAAGTTTTTAAAAGACCTTTAAACATCTTGCATCTTACCCAAGAATGCCACCTGCTAAAAAGAATGCTGATAATTTCCTGGTTTGAAAAATCTGCCTGGAGGAAGTAGTCAAGACTGAGCTTGTATTATTCAAATACAGTATTAGGGCATAAATAGTTGTTTTGAAAGAAAGAAGAAAAGAATTGCAGAAGAATGCTGGATTCTGCATTTTGGGAAAAGGTATGGGCAGGGATTAAAAAGGTGGTGAGATAGGGGATACCTATCAAAGTAAGCTGAAAAAGGCTGCCCCACTCAGTGCTCTTGTGTATTTCCCTGGAGGATAAAACCCAATGCACCTAATGTAAAACAAAACTCCCTGTACAGGGGGTAAATGAATGAAGGAATGAACGAATAAAAAATATTGCAAATTGTCATATTAATGAATATTGAATAGAAAAAAGAATTAAGTAAATGAAAAGAACAGCAGAATGAAAAACCTAAACAAAAATTCTTCCATAACTTAATTTTTCATTTATCTTTAAACATTTAACTTTTAGTTTTCCATTTACTTTAATTATATAAGGTAATGACAATCTCAGATGTCTCAGAAGGCCATTCAGAATCCAAACTTCCAGTCTCCATGACACAGCATGATTTAAATTGAGCTTGACCTAAATTTAGGATGATCGTTCTCTTGTATGGAAAAGAATCTATGATAGCCAAATTTTGAGGACAGAGAGATGAGAGGATCCTAGAAAGTCCCTTTTTACATTTCAATTTACATCTTCAAACAGTTCCAATGTTTAAAGCCTCACCTCCAATTTTGGTTACATCACAGTAAATTAATACTTATTTACCTTAAGAATAATTTTTATTATATAGCCTAAATTTTGAGAAAGTAACATGCAAAACAGAAAAAGCTTCACTAATA